AGAATACGATGATCAGATTAAGTGTTTACATGCACTGTATCGGGTCAGAATAATCCGAATGGGGTGTTTACATGACGCATTTTTATTCCGAATGGCCGTTTAATCCGATTACTTATGTCCATGTAAACGTAGCTACTGTTCATTGACTTCCATTCAGTTCCAGTCATTTCTATACCCTAACCGCTACCCATTACCCTAAAGCTAACCACAACCAGTACATACTCAACCTTCAACCTAAACTAAACTTAATTCAGGCCTTAGTCCTAAACCAAACCCCCAACCCAAAAATGGAGTTCCACTATATTAGGACCAGTTTTTGGTCCCCATAAAGACTACTGGTCTTAACAAGGTATGTGTGTATACCAGAAACAGTCCTAAAAAGGTAACAAATACAAGTACGTACACACACACACACAACTATGTAACTTTCACCAATGAGCAGTTGTAAAACAAATTAAAGATAGAAAGTTTTAGTTTTTTTTTGTGTACAACATTCTGTAAATGCTATGTCTCAATTTGATATGTAAAACAATGTAATGTATTATGGGATACTCAATATAAATCATTGACCAGAAACGTACAAGTATGTTTAATTTCAACCCATCTTTCTCCCCTTATCATTCTTACATTTAATGCGGCCACATGCAGCTAGACTATCTTTTTGCGTGGTCTGAATTATAAGCAGTGATTTGTTGTAAAATTACATTTGTTATCAAAACTCCTGACATAACATGTAGTTGTACACCTCAGCAGATCCACCACCTGAACTACTCTTCCCTTCTTTCTTTTTTCCTTCTTTCTCCAAATAAAATGGCTCAATAATTGTACTCCTCACCTTTGCAAACACCCTTGAATTTAAATTGACCATTGCAAGATGATGTATATCAAAACTACATTACAACTCATCGAGAGCCCTATTGAGTGCAGAGAAGGGCAGTGAATAACAGCTCTCAAGCCCAAGGCTATTTATCACCGTGTTTCACAACAGCTGCTAGAAATACAGATTTTCTCACACTCATTTCTCCATTTGTTATACTTGAAACAGGAAACTCCATTACTGCAGGATTACTCAGATGTGCTGAAAACATTTTAGCATGATTCACTATTTTTTTTTTTTTTTTTTTTTTAGTTGTAAACATTGTTCCACGTTTTGCATCAAGGCTGTTTGATGTTGAGATGTTAGTGTTTATTTTTGCAGATGTAAAAATGATTTTTCCTACCTTATTTGGTCGTCACCATGTTGTTTACTAGTATCCTAGTAAATGCAGACTTCATAGCAGACAGCTCTGTTTAGTGCTATTAACAATAACTGATCTAACAGTTATAGCTTATTGTTCAAAATTGTTGGAAGTTTTTCAAATTGGGCTTAATGCTCAAATTTCATTGTTTTTATTTATAATTTTATTGGTTAACCTTGTTGTTTTGCGCATAAACAACTTTGCTCATGTTTTAGTTTGTTGTATTTAATGTTACGAAAAAAGAGCTGCTCCAGTAAAATCATACCTGTGTTTTTTCCTGTCATCTTTCGCTGTCTTCAAACGTGCTTGTGGCACAGCGGGGAGCACCATCTCACATGTGCTCTTCTCCTCCCATAATGCTACATCTTGTTTTGTTTTGTTTTTTTGTTTGTTTGTTTTTGTTTTTGTTTTTTTTATCCTTCCATCTGGCATGGCATAAATTGATAATTTCTAAAGAGCAAAATCTGGAGTGCAATCTATTTAGGCATGCATAGTGAGGATTTTGAGGAGATTTGGGAGAAAACGTGTTACTTCAGAGTGGCAGCAGAGTGACATTAAAAAGACCTAAGCTCAAATATAAAAGAAACAGAAACTCTTACCTGGACAAAGATATACAACTCAATTTAATGTGTCCCTGTTTTATTCTTTACATCCCAATTGTTTATCCAGAGTTAGAAACTTGAACATCAAAACTCAGCAACTTTATAGGCTTCAAACCCACATTACCTCTGTGGTGTGTGCTTTTTTTTTCACACCAGCTATGTAGTTAAATTAGGGGAACAAACAACAATCAGGTACAACTCACAGAGTGATAATTTGTTAAATCTCTCTCTAAAAAAAGACAAAAATGGAAATAAGCAATTTGCAGCTACATAATGTTAATTAAAAATGTGATAAAGTACAAACTGATCTTTTACAAAATGTCAGAATTATTGAAAACAAATTTCAAGCATTATTAAAGTTTCATGAGAACACATATTAAAATAAAAACATAATCATAAATCATTCTTAGAGTAATAGTCTCCTATTCTTTTGTGTAAGGTACCGGTATATCTTTGATCGTTATACCACTGTAGGACACTTACTCATAGACTATTTCTATTATTTTAAACAAATAGATTCAGTTAGTGGAGTCTTTTTAAACACGTTTTTCATTACAATAAGTGGTCTGATGAGGACCAAGGATGCAGAAAAGGAGATGGGCTGTCAAAATAAAATAAAAACTCTAAACCAAAAGACTGACATGGCAGCATACAACCAAAGCAATCTAAGCAGTTAAAAAAAGATAAAAAATAAAACCACGATGACTGAGAGAAAACAGAAGAAATAATAAACTGTGAAAGTTGACATGAAACCTTCTTTACATAGAGAGTTCAGTTTATTCATGTTTTAAAAACGTGAATGCTTTGACACATTTTAGAAGCTAAAAAGTCATGCCTTATTCTGATGACACATTTTTCTCCCTGCCTGTTTTTAGATCTTATCCTAACACATTCAATATGTCAACTTCTATTTCAGTATAAAAGAATGTAATATATCTTCATCATTTTGAATTTTTTCTTTGCCTATGAGCTTTTTATRGCTTGACTTCTTTTTCTAAGCACTTTGGTCAACATGGTTTTAAATGTGCTTTATGAATAAGTATAACTTGACTTTTTCTTTCCCAACCATCTTTTGTTCTCTGTTATTTTATGCCACTCAGCAGATTGTTAGAAGCTGCATGAGTGAATACAGTATGTGCCCCATGTAAGCATAAACACTTGCAGATATACTGAACAAATCTTCATTGAGTTGTTCCCAATGCCTCCCAGAAATCAAAAACAAAAAGCCCAAAGTAGTTTACACACAGTCCTCTCAGTTCTCTAAAGTTGATTTGTACAATTTGATTTATATGTTTTCCCAGAGGATCAATGAAATGTGTTTGTACTCCAGTCAATGTTTTTCTACTCATTTGGTCAGATTACTTCCATCCGTCTTATATGATTTCCCTGCACTTTGCACTGATGTGGTGACACAGCTTTTGGACTTCGCTGACCAGTTCTGTCAGAATGTGGAATTTTAATATTTTATGCAAATATAAGAGCTTTGCAGACAATCAGCTCCTAGGATCAGGGTCGGTACCCGAAGCCGACACTGTCATTTTAAGATGCTCTTAATAGCATTAAATGAGCTGCTTCAGCCTCCTGATCTGGACTTATCTGGCAGCAGGGGATTTCACTTGACTGTCAAAGTGCTTGTTGTAAGCACGTGCTGGTGTGTGTCTGTGAGACGGTATGGTCAGTATGATTTGTTTCCCAGTTTGTGTAACACTCAACAGTTTGTTACAGAAATTCCCATCCAAGGCCATTTTTAATTGCCTGCACTCAGAGGTGAAGGCCTGTGTTTTTGCCCATATGTGTGGGTTTGTTTTTCTTTCTGTTAGCTAAATAAACTATRTTGCCAAAACTACACTGCAAAAACTCTCCACCTAACCAAGTTTTAAAATCTTATATCCAGCCAAAAAGTCTTTTTGATCTTGTTTTGAGACTGATTTACTAAACAAGAACTGATTGTGTAAGAATAATAATCTTGTTTTCAGAATGTGTAAGATTATTTGTCTTGTTAGTTTGAAAATTTGACTCAAATTAAGTWAAAATTTCTGCCAATGGAGTAAGAAAATTTTACTTGGTAAGATTCTTAAAATACTTGATTTGACTCAATTTTTTCTTATTTCAAGAATCTTACCAAGTAAAATTTTCTTACTCCATTGGCAGACATTTTTGTCTTAATTTGAGTCAAATTTTCAGACTAACAAAACAAATAATGTTACACATTCTGAAAACAAGATTATTATTCTTACACARTTAGTTCTTTTTTAGTAAATCAGTCTCAAAACAAGATCAAAAATACTTTTTGGCTGGATATAAGATTTTAAAACTTGGTAAGATGGACAGGTTTTGCAGTGTATTTGCTCACCCATCCAAATTATCGGAATCAGGTGTTCCAATCACTTCCATGGCCACAGGTGTATAAAATTAAGCACCAGAGCATGCAGACTGTTTTTCAAACATTAGTGAAAGAATATGTTGCTCTCAGGAACTCAGTGAATTTCAGTGTGGAATTGTGATAGGATGCCACCTGTGCAACAAATCCAGTCATGAAATTTCCTCACTCCTAAATATTCCACAGTCAGCTGCCAGCTGTATTATAGGAAAGTGGAAGTGTTTGGGAATGACAGCAGTCAATYCCTAYAGACCTCCAAACTTTATGTGGCCTTCAGATTAGCTAAAGAACAGTGCGCAGAGAGCTTCATGGAATGGGTTTCCATGGTCGAGCAGCTGCATCAAAGCCATACATCGCCAAGTGCAATGCAAAGCGTCAGATGCAGTGGTGTAAAGCACGTCACCACTGGACTTTAAAGCAGTGGAGGTGCATTAACTGGAGGGACAAATCACACGTCTCCATCTGGCAACCTGATGGACGAGTCTGGGTTTGGCAGTTGCCAGAAGGATGGTACTTGTCTGACTGCRTTGTGCCAAGTGTAAAGTTTGGTGGAGGGGGGATTATGGTGTGGGGTTGTTTTTCAGGAGCTGGACTTTGCTCCTTAGTGCCAGTGAAACAACGCTGAATGCTTCAGCATACCAAGACATTTTGGACAATTCCATTCTCCCAGCTTTGTGTGAAGAGTTTGGAKCTGGYCCCTTCCTCTTCCAACATGACTGTGCACCAGTGCACAAAGAAAGGTCCATAGAGACATGGATGGCAGAGTGTGGTGTGGATGAACTTAACTGGCCTGCACAGAGTCCTGACCTCAACCTGATAGAACACCTTTGGGATGAAGACTGAGAGCCAGACCTTCTCTCCAACATCTGTTTTGGAAGAATGGTCAGAAATCCCCGTAAACACACTCCTAAACCGTGTGGACAGCCTTCCCAGAAGTGTTGAAACTGTTCCTGTTTATAATCATTGTGTTAATAGTCACTGTATTGAATKAACCTAAAATTACAAAAAATTTAGAAGAGAATAAATTAAGCTCATGGTGGTAGCTATGGCTTTAACAGTACATCTATCCAAATTGCTATATTAATTAAATGATTAATGATTCAATTACATCATATGTCCTATGTGGATCAATATTATTCGCCCATCTAACAATCATTTATGTTAGATGATCAAATGATATTGCATCATATAGACTGCAGACTTGTGAAATGAATTGAATTAAATTAAAATTGTTTTGTGACAGGTTTTGTGATATTGAGAAATATAGTATTGTCATCCAGATCCAAACAAATCCTTGTAGTGTCATATCATGATAATGCTGGTGATTTACACACTTAGTGGTAGCTGAGAATCATACTCTGAGCATTAACACATATCTTGAAATACTGTATATGGCTATGGTGATCGTGTTTAATCAAAACTGTCATAAAAAGGGGTGAGCAAATCCATCCCTTTAAGGAGCAGTAAGCCTGCATTTAAACATAAAAAACATTCCTTACTTTTTCTGGGCTGTGGTTGCTTGTTGGTCAATGCTGCGGTCTTGTAATCCTGAGGCTGGTTTGAGCCTGGGTCGTGACAGGAAGGGCATCCAGCATAAAATAACTTCTAAATCATGTGAGTTCACTAGATGTGGGGACCTCTGCAGAAGGGTGCACTCAAAAGTGGCACCTTACTTATTTATCTTGTAAGTTCTCACTCCAGTAGAGATTCTGCTGTAAAATATAGTGCAATGTAATTATGGATTTAAACTTCTTGGCCTACAGTTAAAGGCTGAGAGGTTAATGCTTGGGATGCCTTCAAAGATAAGAAATGATCTTAGGCTGATGCATTTGCAGGTTTAGATGCATTGCTTTAGTTTTGGCATTAAGAACAGCTGCACGCCTGCCAGACTCTGACTAAACTCAAGATTGATCATCAGAGTTGGATAGTCGGTGGACAGTCTGCAACACTGTGTCTCACTTAAAGCAAACTTCTTAAATAAATAGTGTTTGCTATTTTTTGTCAAAGGTTTAATGAGAAAATTGTCATCCAGACAATGCTACATTTTACACTGATCAGGCTGCAACCTTCCAGTGTTTCCAACAAACTGTTTCACTTTTGCTTTGCGTGAGCATATTAGTCACTGCTGTCTTCTTTTCCCCGTGACCTTCCTTGATGTATTGCTTTCATTATCTGCTGATGTACTTGGGAAGTTCATTATGCAGTGTTTTGATATTGTGTTGCTGTCGTTCTTTGTTTGGCTCCACTCCAGGTGTGAGGAACGAGTGCGTGGATGAGCTGCGCATCTTCCTGTTGGTCTGTGGCCTCAGAAGAGTCAAGGACCCACTCTATTTGGTCGAGGTTTTTTCAGGTTTAACTTGAAATGTATTTTTCCCCCCACAACTTTAGTGATGAATGCACTGAAAAGGACAAACTGATACTACACAGTTAATTAAAATGTCAAGGACAAACTTTTGACAGTTAAATTGTAAATTCCCAAAGTAACTTCCATTAGAGGTGTCCTCAATAAATAAAATAGATAGATCTCTACAGTTTCATCTATGTGAAATATGCAAAAAGACTCTAAACTTTTGTAGTGTTTTTAATGATGAATATCCTGCATATGTATAAATTCAGCAATGAGACTGTTATTGATTCAGATGATTACCTTTTTTCCCCTCATTTTTCTTTCCCAGTGCACAGTTATGATAATAAGACAGCACTAGATGGCGTCAAATTGTATAATAATGTTTAAATGAGCTATGTGAGGCTTTTCACGTGCTGTTTCTTGGAATTAGATTGTACAGTTCCCATTTAAAACCAAAAGCCATATGGTGCCTGGAAGATTTCTATGAAAATAGGCCTTTCCAGCTTTTTAGTTGCTTTTCAGCCCCCTCACACACACTCACATATGCACACACACACACACCAGATAATTGTAATTTACATTCCTACCTTCTAAATCTCTGTCTTCCAGGTTGGCACTGTAAGAATCTGCTGAATATTTTGGTCATTATCGGACCAAAGGTAAGTAGTCATTAAGTAAGAAGTTAGTTTCTTTATTCTCCTGCCCTGAAAAAGCTTTTCCTGTCCTACTGAGTGTCCACATCTACCTACCTTGGGAATTCAGAAAGCCTCTAATTGGATGTAGCAGAGATACAGGCTTTAGGTGGAATTAAGAAGCAGCTCTTAGGAGAAATGCCTTCACTGTCAGCAGCAGTAATGAACCCATTTTAAATGTTTTTTTGTATAGATGTTTGGTAAATACTGCTGACCCTGGATTAGCATGTGCGTTTGACTAATGCTCCCATATAAATGGAGATATACAGATCAGGACATGTGTTTAACATATTGGCTTGGTTTGTTGCACAGACACACAACATTGTACTTTGGCCTTGTTTATCTCCCATGAAATCAATACACTGCCTGGCCAAAAAAGAAGTCGCCACCTGGATTTTACTAAGGTCTATGATCTGTGGTTGCTGCATGTGGTCAGGTCTAGGTTCAGCAACAGTCTGTGCTCAAAGAATGAGCTCAGCTGACCTGAATATACTGAATGACCAGGTTATTCCATCAATGATTGTTTCTTCCCTGATGGCACGGACAAATTCCAAGATGACAATGCCAGGATTCATGGGGTTCTTATTGTGAAAGAGTGGTTCAGGGAGCATGAGACATCATTTTCACACATGGATTGTCTCCACAGAGTCCACTGAGAATCTCTGGGATGTGCTGGAGAAGGTCAGACTCTACCATCRTCAATGCAAGATCTTGGTGAAAAATTAATGCTACACTGATGAAATAAATCTGGTGACATTGCAGAAGCTTATCGAAACAAAGCCACCGAATGTGTGCCATAATCAAAGCTAAAGGTGGTCCAATGAAATATTAGAGTGTGACTTTTTTTTGGTTGTAACTTTTTTTGGCCAGACAGTGTATATTACATGGATAGTTTTGTGCAAAAGTTAAACAATATCTTATGTACCTCTAACCAGAGTTCTTTCTGGATGAAATAGTCTTAACTTTTCTAAGAATTTTAATTATATGAAGCTTTTTACATTTTATGAACTTTACTAAGAATTCCTCAACCATTATATGAATATCAACCTTTGAACTTGAGTATAATTGTTAGGAATTCTCTTTTCATAGGGGTATACGTACACAAGAGAGCTTTATTTAAAAAAAATCTCATGAAAACTCATTGACACATTCATTGTCTGATGGTGCAGGAACTTACACATGTTGCTGAGCTGATGTTACAGTTTTAAGGTCTAAATAACTTGTTAACTGCCTTAATATTGGTAATAGATGTATTTTAGATGTGTCGATGGAGGAAGATCTGAGCAGCGCATCAAAGACTGACCCCAGAGCTATGTTTATTAGGGGTGCACCAAAAAATAGTTTTACATCAGGATCGTGATTCTCATTTACAAAGATTCAGAATCGATTTAAAATGTTCCAAAATCGATTTTTATTAAAAAAATAAAATAAAGCAAATCCAAAGGCTGTCAGCCTCCATTTTGTAACTACATGGGACGTCCTGACGTCATCACGCAGCTGCTTCTGGAACATATGAATGTGCAGAAAGCACCAAAACAAAGAGGAAACAACAAAACTGGAGGAAACAGTCTTCATTGAAGACAAAGATTTGGGCTCTTTTTTTTTACTGAATGAATCTGAGTTTGACATGAGTGAGGTGTGCAAGGTTTGCAAAATAAAGATGAAACACTTTGGGAACACGACAAATAGGCTCACATTATCAGCTTTGAATGAAAATTTGATTTAGATTCAAAAATCGAATCAAATCATGAGAGAGTAAAAGTTTCCCACCCCTAATGTTAATTATGTAGGTTGTGTGTCTCCTTTGCACAATATAATCGTTTTCTTTGATCAAAGATAAGCCACACTTTAGATTGCCTCCACACACTGTCCATTTGCACAAACACTTCCTGCACATTCTTCTTTGCTGTTGTTCAGCAGCTCACCTGCAGATTTTTATTTTCATTGGTAGTCAGTGACTTATTCCTCCATTCGGCAGACTGGGTATCATAACTAGGAATCGAAAATTTAAAATTTGAACAATTCTGGGAGAGTTTAAACTTAATCACTGTTTCCAATCAAGACTCGATGTCCAGTCCTAACTACAGTCTTAATAATTAAATTGCATCAATTAAAAAAAGAAAAAAATAATAATTAAATTGCAGTCCATGTGAATCTGTCATCTCAAACCAGTCTTTTCTCTGACTTCTGACATCAACAAGGCTATTTTTTTGTCCACACTTGATATGTGCTTTTATTTGGACCATTCTCTGATGGTTGTGCGTAAAAATCTCAGTAGATCAGACATTTCTGAAATACTCAGCTTGTCTGGCACCAACAACCACGCCACATTTAATTTAAAGTCACTTAAATCCCAGTTACTACCGGTACTCATCTTTATCAGGTCTACATGCCTAAAGGCAAAACTGCTGCCATGTGGTTGGCTGATTAGCTATCTGTACACTTTAGCATCTGTTTATTCTATCAGTCACGTCAGGCAACAAGGTACGTCATGGCTCTAGGTTTACTCAAAAGCACCTCAATTAGATGTAGCCAAGGGCACATGCATCTTACTGCTACGCTTTGTTGATGTTTGAAGAAATACTTCAGTGGAAGCAGAGATGTGTGATTCATCTCACTCTGATGAATCACACACTGTTTGTCTGAGAAATAAATAGATCTCACTGTCATCAGTGTTATTATTGTTATTAAAAGATGTTTGTATCATCACACGGTTTCTCGTGTTAATCTCATGGATAAATGTAAACTGGATACAACAGGAAGGCAAAGAAATGTCAGGAGCTGAACAGGAGGTAGGGTGAGACATGCCTTGCACAGAGTATAATGGCGTACTATAAATTCTCCCTCATAATAAGCACTAGCGGTGCAACATCTGTCAAGAGGAAAATTCAGGTCACTGATGTTTGTCAGCAGTGACACATCTTACTCTTCTTTAACTGAGCTCTATGTATCATTTTATACAACAGCCTGTGCTTTTGGATTATATSAAACAGAATAGTCTTTATATGAATATGTAGTTTTAAATAAAGGAGAATATTACAAGTCTTGCATCATGTTTAGGGTTTGAACAAACAAAAGCCTACAGTATATTTTCACATAACCCAAATGGTTTCCTATTCCCTGCAGGATATACCCTACAGATTGACAGAGAGAAGAATAGATGCTTTATTGATACTATATGAGAAATTGTGTGTGCAGCAGTTTAAAAACAATAAACCAGCATTTGCAATAAGATCAATGCCGGACTGCACCAGAATACTCTAAATGCGCTCAGTTTAGATTCACTTTAATGCAGTGGTCTTGAAAACAAATTAGATATAGAAATTTCAGGGTCTTAAAATAAGAAGGG